AGAAGAGTACTCGCAGTTGCTGAATGCTAGTTTAAAGCCATTTACAACTACTAAATAAATCATGATCTCCCAGACTAAAGTATCACTCAGTATTCATCCAACGGATTTAGTGTAAAGACGTCATAAACAGTCTGAGAAATGCATGACATGAAATAGCATATTTGACCAAATGGTAATTTTTAGACGGGTTGGTTTTTATTCAGCGATGTTACTTTTATTGTTGGGAACATTACGTGGAATTAGATGTCAGTTGTTACGCTACATGAACGTAGTCGTAGCCCGTCCCAAATCCAATCAAAGTCCCCCAGTCCATAATCTCATTTTGTTAATTTGATTTACTTTTTTTTCACCTTAGTTTTAGATTTTTAAACATAAACTATCCTGGAATTGTTCCTAAAAGATGCGACAAAGTCTCTCTTGCAACACCTAGATGAAAGGTGGTACATCAAAAATGGTGAGACGAGATATAACACAAAATAAGTAAACATTGAATAACAAAATGCATTACAAATTGTGTCAATAGGTCAAATTAACACGAAAGAACGATTTGAAAGTACTCGCAGTTACTGGAATCTAGTTAAAAGACAAAAACAATCAATAATAAAAAAGCATTCATCAGAGACTAAACTCAATTAAACCACATCCTAGGGATTTAGTGTTTTAACGCCATGGACAGTCCAAGAATTAAGACATGACTTGTGCAATGCCAAAAATAAAAGGATCGACAGGCAGTAGGATAGTTAGGATTTAATCTTATTATAAATATGTTAGAATTTAACCTTATAATAAATATGTATCATGTTATATATAGATAAAGCAATCTCTATATAGAAAATAAACGTGGATGTGTATTTATACATCCTTAAAAAACATCCAAAAAGAATACAAATTTAGTTATGTTTTAATTTGTTGATGATACAATCGATATAAGTATGTCTTTTAATTCCTGGCTTATTTTCTTGGTTATATGATAATACGGATTTACTATTCATATATTAAATATAATGAAAACATCACTTCATAAATTTCATGCGATCGACACGCTTTTCTGGATTTCCCTTCATCAGGAACACTCAAAGCTGACAATTTGAAAGCCAAGGATGTATAAGAACCGTAGCAACTGTAGAGCTATTTGACGAAAAAAGTACTTAAAAAAAACAAATTCATCTAACATTGTCTAAGATCAATTGGTTTCTAAGCAAAATATTAAAAAGCCAGGGTTTTGTTAAAGAACATCTCGTCCCTTTTCTCAAAATGTTCATCTGAAAGTATCAAGACCTAATAGATAAATATTCATTGTCTACTTCACAAATGATGGAAGATTATCGTTTTTGAGTTATTGATTTTAGATGCTGAATTTGTGTATCTTTTTGTTTTACTATAGTTTCCCCGTTATTTGGCTTCGTGCTGTTATGGATCGTTTGGTCGTATGTCTTTTGACGTGACAGGTTATTTATGCATCCCGCCATCGAGTTTTTGACTTTATGACTTTGGGCATTCCTGGTGCATGTGGGTACGTCCTGGGGATGCAATTCAAACACAAAGGTCCTTTATAGTGTTGTTTGTATTTTTATTACCCTAATATTTATATTTACTTAATTGTTACTTGGCCTTAGACACTTGTCAAAACAAGAAGATAAAAAAAGCCAGATCACTTAATTCCACATTCAGATATATCGATGATGTTCTTTCCATTAACACTCCAAACTTTTCTGATTGGGTTCCATTAATATATCCTCCAGAACTATAAAATTAAAGAAACAACAGACACGGCTTCCTCTGCCTCCTTTTTAGGCTTATACCTCGAATTTGACATCTCAGTACCAGAATCTATGACAAACGAGACGATTTTAATTTTGAAATTATCAATTTCCCCCACCTTAGTAGCAACTTACCAACTTTACCTGCATATGGGATATACATTTTCCAACTAATTCGGTATGCAAGAGCTTGCAGCTCCTACTCAGACTTTGTAAAACGTCACCAGTGTCTGAGCAGAAAGTTGATGAACCTAGGGTATGTTAAAGAACGTCTAGTCCTTTTTCTAAAAAAGTTCATCGGAAGATACCAAGACCTTGTTGATAAATATTCCGTATCAACTTCACAAATAATACACGATGGTCTTGAAGTATAGATTCTAGGTCCTGACGCTGTTTATCATCTTAATAACGTGTTGTGGTATTCTTTTATTTGTCTTTGTTATTTATTACTTTTACTGTTTAGCCTATTTTTGGCAGTATCCATTTGACGTGGTTCGGTACTTGTACATCCCGTCATTGTGTTGTTGTGTTATGGTAAATTTTTGTATTCTTGTCTTTCGTTTTTGCTAATATGCTTTATCTATATGCCTTTTTGTTTGTCTTTGTTGACATACTTGTTTGTTTTTGTAGTGATTCATTTGACGTGGCTCGGTACTTGTACATCCCGTCATTGTGTTGTTGTGCTATGGTAAATTTTTGTATTCTTGTCTTTCGTTTTTTCTAATGTGCTTAGTCTATATGCCTTTTTGTTTGTCTTTGTTGAAATATTTGCTTGTTTTTGTAGTGATTAAGATTATAACACAATGTTGACTGCTGTACCCCTATTTTTGACATTTTAACCTATTATGTCTGTTTGTTTTGTTCACACATCGTTGTCAATATAAAGGAATTTAATGCGACTGTCATAAAAGTAAGAGGTTTAGCTAGCTATAAAACCAGGTTTAATCAACCATTTTCTACATAAGAAAATGCCTGTACCAAGTCAGGAATATGACAGTTGTTATCCATTCGTTTTAATACGTTTGAGCTTTTGATTTTGCCATTTGCTTATGGACTTTTCGTTTAGAAAACTTTCCTCGGAATTGGATTTTTTTTTGGTTATTTTACTTTTTTCTATATACGGTATGCACTATCAACAACACAATTTTTTTTTGTTGACGTCATTGTCAAATTTTTACTATCTACACATGTTTTGTTGGCGTCTTTGTTGTCACATTAACCTATGTCTGTTTGTCATTATAACGGAACTATACATGACTGTCACACAAGTCGGTACAGGCATTTTCAGAAGAAAATGGTCGTTTAAATCTATTTTATAGCAAGCTAAACCTCAAACTTGTATGACATTTTTTTTTAGGTCTATTATTTTTGACAAAATAGGGTGAGCATATGAGAGAGACTATATTCTTTTTTGGAGGGACAAATAACACTTTCGAAATAAAAACTTTCTGTTTCGAACAAAACATTTTCTGATACTGATTAAATGCTTGGTTTTTATTTTGACAACATATCTTTACGTTTAGAGGACGTGCCTTTTTGACAGCAAATCGGCATTCTTATAGGAACCAACTGTTTTTGTTTTGTATATGAGGTAGTCTTTTTGTTTAGGGGCTAGCTGAAGCCCACCTCTGGGTGAAGGATTTCCTCGCTGTGTTGAAGACCCATTTGTGGCCTTGGGCTGTTTTCTGTTCTTTGGTCAGGTTGTTGTCTCTTTGACACATTCCTTATTTCCATTCTCAATTTTATTTAAACAGGAGCTTTTTGGGAGGAATTTTAAGAAGCTATCATTATACTTTTACTTCACGACAGATACAGATAATGTTCTCTCCCTAAAAATTCAAAGGTGATTATAAATGTTTTGGACAAATTTATCCAATCGTTATCAACATAAAGTATACAACAGCTACAATTGTGAATGCTTAATATCTTTGCCTACATCTAGAAATCGATTGAGTCAGTTGAGAATCCAACTTTACGATAAGAGATGAATTTAGCTTTCTAAATGGGAATTTTCAATTTCTTTTTTCCAGGAGCGACTATATAGAGTATATATTTCTCAGTTGATACGATATTGATAAGCCTGTGTTTTTTGTCATGATTTCCTTGATAGAGGATTGCTGCTTACAACGAAGCCATTGAACCAAGGGTTACAAGTTGAAGCCATTCTTTCGAATGTTTCACGAAAGAACCATGACCTAGTTGACCGTTATGGATTATCTATGTCACAGATGACCACGGATATGTTCCACTTATCGTAGCAATAAAATCATCCCTTTTTTACCTTGAGTAACACAACGGAGCCGAATATGCATCAACCTTCTTGAAAAGCTACGATCCCACCAGTTCTTTAAGGAACTCGTGTTGTCCATAGTTTTTTTTATGTAATGTTGTGTAAAAGAGGGACGAAAGATACCAGAGGGACAGTCAAACTCATAGAACGAAAACAAACTGACAACGCCATGGCCACAAATAAAAAGACAAACAGACAAATAATAGTACAGATGACACTACATAGAAAACTAAAGACTAAGCAACACGAACCCCACCAAAAACTGGGGGTGATCTCAGGTGCTCCGGAAGGGTAAGCAGATCCTGCTCCACATGTGGCACCCGTCGTGTTGCTTATGTTATTACAAATCCGGTAAATAGTCCAATTCGGTAGGTTACATTCGTGAAAAGGGAAGGGTATTGTAGTTACGACATAAGGAACATATCCGATATCATCTGTGAAACAGTGATTCCATAACGGTCAACCAACTCGTGATGGCGTCCGTAAAATTTACGAAGGGATGATTTCAACTTCACCATTTGGAACTCTTGGTTTAATAGCTTCCTTGTGAGCAGCAATCCTCTATCAAGGAAATCATGATAGGAAATACAAGCCCGGGAATATCGTATAAATTGGGAGATATATACTCTGTATATAGGCGCTGCTGGAATGTTGCTACATAGAATTGGAAAGTTCACAATTGAGAAGCTGAAATCATCTCTTTTGTCGTAAAGTTTTGTTTTCAACTTGTGTAACTTGTTTTTATTTTCGTCTGTTTCGGCTGTGTTTTTTTTTTTGCTATGACGTTGTCGATTAATCTCTGAAATTTTAAAATGTTGATTGTCCATTTGCCATCTTCTGGATCGATTTTTCATTTCCGACATGGAGGAAAACAAATCCTAAAAATATGTGAAGGGGACAACAAAATATAAAGAGAAAAACTTATTGGGATTTCAGCAACTTTCACAGACTGAGTATAATTGTAGTTGAATTCATATTTTGTTAGATTTGACTATAAACAAAAACTGGACCTTCGACAAGATTGGCGACAATGATGCTCTTATTTTCTTTGTCATAAGCTACATGCCAAGGCTGGAACAAACCGTCCTGCTCACCGTCTAGTCGTTTTTTTCTTTTTCCATCACTTGCAATAACCACCAGAAAGATGTGTCCTGCAATGTATATATTTCCCATGTTATCAGCTGCAATGCCAAAAGGTTTATATTGTTCAAACTTTATTTTCCAAATGATCTGACCCTCGGAATTAATTACAGAAACATTTCTCTCCCTGTTGTTTGTAAAACAGATAATGTCCTCATAAGTGGTGACATATGATCCCCATGGCAAATTGTCTGCGAAAATGAGTTTAGGGTAAGTCATTTTAAGGGTCACTGTGAAAATACCTTCACATTTCACACAAACTATAATTTTATCGTCGCGATAAGCTATTCCACAGCAGAAGTTTGTGGTATCAGTAATTTTCGTAACTGTTATTTTATTTATATCTATTATATGAAGAGAGCGATCCATGCCGGTGGTTAAACCGACTGTATTTTTACCGATGGCGCATACATCGAATATAGCTCTGTGTATCGGAAATTTTAGACTATTACCATTCACTTCCAGGATAGTGAGTTCTCCAAAATTATCAGCCAGAACGATCTTTCCGCCAGGAAGAACACAACACCCGGTTATATGTTCTTTCCTTCTAATGTCGCTAAATTGTTTTTTTATTTGAAATTTGACATTATCGTACGCCGACGAGCGCGGCATGGGCATCTGACCCCGAATGTCTTTTGCAATTTCAATTGTAGGTGTTGCTTTCTTAACAGTAATATCTCCGAAATTTTCAAGTTCTTCAAATGTTTTTCCATCCTTGCTTCTTGTAACAGAAATATTGATTCGATCTAATGTACCTTCGCTGTAAATGTTATTGAGATATTGCTCTTCATCGTGAACCATTTTCTCGATTTCACGCATGCTCACAAGTGCATGTATGTCTGTAGCATATTTGTTAATGTCTGTTATGCTCTTTTCTAACTTGAGCATTTTGTCTTCTCTTTCTCGCAAGTCCTTTATTATATCTCTTAATTCGTTTCGAGATTTTTTTGAGACCATAGCCAATTTTTTTGAAACTTTATGTTGATCTCTCATAGTTGGAATTCTTTGCTTAATGCGTTCTTCGTCTTTATTAATGCTGATAAGATTCGTTTCTCGGTCGTTTGCCGCTTTTTCAAGATTACTTATAACACCCTTCAGTTCTTTCAGTAAAGAGTACATTGCTGTTGATGTTTTTACATTTTTAGCAGCTTCGGTCAGTATAGCAGTATTTTCGCAATTTCTATGTGTGGTTAGTATACACTTTTTGCACAAAGGAAGTTCATGGTTGCGGCAGTATAATTTTAACTTTTCGTTGTGTTCCTTACAGAAAACCCTAGTCTCACGAATCATGGAAAGCAGTTTAGAGTTCACTATAGGAACAGCACTATGCTTTTTTGTAATTGTTGAAAGGCGATGCCTGTGGGAACATTCGTCGCATAATTTTTCATCACATTCTGGGCACCATGTGACAGCCATTGAGGATGTAGGTCCATTGCTGCAAATATCACATGAGTCACACGAAGTTGCCATATCTAGATCATATACCTAAAAAAACCAAACATACTTATTTATTTAATCTGTTTTAAAACATAATTGTCAGCATATGTTCCTTTATATCCGTATCATATGGAGGGTTTTAATAAACAATTAGATATATCCTTTCACGTGATCAAATGACAAATCGTTTACCAACAACAACACAAAGGGTAAAGGTCACAGAAAGCATACGACAAAAGTACCAAAACGGCCTCTAAATTTTAATTTTCAGTTTGAGATAATGGACAAATTTAAATGATATAAGTTAAAGCCAAAACTCATCTTGTCTAAATACTGAAATATTGTGCATGAATTAAACAAAAGTAAATGCCATCGATACAAACATATTTTAATATATACAACAATAAACTCATCATAGATACCAGGATTGAAATTTTGTACTTGCGCCAGACGCGCGTTTCGTCTACAAAAGACTCATTAGTGACGCTCGAATTAAAAATAGTTAAAAAGGCCAAATAAAGTACGAAGTATTGAGGACCAAAAATTCAAAGACTACAACACCTGACAAGGTTCCTGGCTTGAGGTAGGCACATGCACATATGATGGGGTCATCTGTAACTTTGGATGTCTCCATTTACGTTTAGTTATCAAGCTTAATATGGAATAAAACCCAAACAAGAAAAAAAGTACAGTGTTATAGCATTGGTGGTACCAATTTTACTGCACAATATTTTATTTTATTAGACAATTACTTTGTTTTCTGTTTTTGAAAACCGAAAACCAAATACAAACGTTGTAGAACTGTAAAAACAAAACGGACAAAAAATAAACCATAAAACTTTAAAGGAGGTAGAGCTATACACGAGGGAGACACCTTCCTTCATATAAAACGATATCATCAATTTTATTTAAAGCTTGACTTGAACAGCGGTAGTAATTAAATCAACGATATCAATTTACACAAACGTTATATGTATAAAAATAAGAAGATGTGGTATGATTGCCAATGTGAAACCTCTCCACAAGAGACCAATATGACATAGAAGTTAACAACTATAGGTCACCGTACGGCCTTCAGCAATGAACAAAACCCATACCGCATAGTCAGCTATAAAAGGCTGCAAAATGACAAATGTAAAACAATTCAAACGAGAAAATTGACGGCCTGATTTATGTAAAAAAAATATAGAACGAAATAACAATACGATTTACAGACAACCACTGAATTACAGGCTCCTGACCTGGAAAAGGGCACATTAAGAATATGGCAGGGTTAAACATGTTAGCGGGCGCCTAACCCTCCCCCTAACCTGGGATAGCGGTGTTACAGTACAACATATGAAAAAATTATAAAAAAATCAGTAAATAAGGGCTAAACTCATCAGATCACAAAAACACAGACAGGACGTGACAGGGTATATATACATCCCTACACCAAAAACGACACTGAGTACAGATCAGAGAGTACTCGCAGTTACTGACAGCTAGTTCAAATCCAATAACAACTAATACAAATCATGTATCTGAGACTAAAGTATCAATCAGTACACATCCAACATCCAATAGATGTAAAGACGTCATTCACAGTCAGAGAAAAACCTGACCTTGTGCAATGCCAAAATACAGGTATTGACAGATTGTAGAACCGTGAATGTTTCATATGTATATATAAATATATATATTATATTTTTTCGTTTGGGCTTGTATTATATTTGCCTTCGGGTTTATATGATCCGTTCATCCTATTTTGACTCCTCAACATTCAAGAGTCTATCCCAAATTGAGGTAAATTATGTGGCCTTCCAATAACGGTTTTGATTCCTAACATCACTGAAGAGACATTAATTGTCGAAATCCGGATATGGTGTACAAAAAATATTTGCACCTTTGTTTGCGGTATACCATCTTCGCCGCAAGTTTATTGTTTTCTGTTTGGTATTAAATTTAAAGTTAAGATCCATTTATTACACCTTGTGATCCGTTTATTTGGCAATCGCCAATGGCAGTCAGCAGGATTTAAGAACATTTGTTGTTCGACCTGTTAGTCAAATGCGTTTTGTTAAAATATACTTTTTCACTTTTTTGATCTTTTGGAAAATGTTGTTTGTGCTGTATTTAGACCCCTCTAACAAGAAATTTGTTTTGCATGCACACGTATAAACATTGCGGTTTTTATCCAACGCAATCATAGGTTTGAACGTTGTTTTCAATTTAGACTTGTTTATATTTTTTTCGTTTGGGCTTGTATTATATTTGCCTTCGGGTTTATATGATCCGTTCATCCTATTTTGACTCCTCAAAATTCAAGAGTCTATCCCAAGTTGAGGTAAATTATGTGGCCTTCCAATAACCGTTTTGATTCCTAACATCACTGAAGAGACATTAATTGTCGAAATCCGGATATGGTGTACAAAAAATATTTGCACCTTTGTTTGCGGTATTATACCTTCTTCGCCGCAAGTTTATTGTTTTCTGTTTGGTATTAAATTTAAAGTTAAGATCCATTTATTACACCTTGTGATCCGTTTATTTGGCAATCGCCAATGGCAGTCAGCAGGATTTAAGAACATTTGTTGTTCGACCTGTTAGTCAAATGCGTTTTGTTAAAATATACTTTTTCACTTTTTTGATCTTTTGGAAAATGTTGTTTGTGCTGTATTTAGACCCCTCTAACAAGAAATTTGTTTTGCATGCACACGTATAAAAATTGCGGTTTTTATCCAACGCAATCATAGGTTTGAACGTTGTTTTCAATTTAGACTTGTTTATATTTTTTCGTTTGGGCTTGTATTATATTTGCCTTCGGGTTTATATGATCCGTTCATCCTATTTTGACACCTCAAAATTCAAGAGTCTATCCCAAATTGAGGTAAATTATGTGGCCTTCCAATAACCGTTTTGATTCCTAACATCACTGAAGAGACATTAATTGTCGAAATCCGGATATGGTGTACAAAAAATATTTGCACCTTTGTTTGCGGTATTATACCTTCTTCGCCGCAAGTTTATTGTTTTCTGTTTGGTATTAAATTTAAAGTTAAGATCCATTTATTACACCTTGTGATCCGTTTATTTGGCAATCGCCAATGGCAGTCAGCAGGATTTAAGAACATTTGTTGTTCGACCTGTTAGTCAAATGCGTTTTGTTAAAATATACTTTTTCACTTTTTTGATCTTTTGGAAAATGTTGTTTGTGCTGTATTTAGACCCCTCTAACAAGAAATTTGTTTTGCATGCACACGTATAAAAATTGCGGTTTTTATCCAACGCAATCATAGCTTTGAACGTTGTTTTCAATTTAGACTTGTTTATATTTTTTTCGTTTGGGCTTGTATTATATTTGCCTTCGGGTTTATATGATCCGTTCATCCTATTTTGACTCCTCAAAATTCAAGAGTCTATCCCAAATTGAGGTAAATTATGTGGCCTTCCAATAACCGTTTTGATTCCTAACATCACTGAAGAGACATTAATTGTCGAAATCCGGATATGGTGTACACAAAATATTTGCACCTTTGTTTGCGGTATTATACCTTCTTCGCCGCAAGTTTATTGTTTTCTGTTTGGTATTAAATTTAAAGTTAAGATCCATTTATTACACCTTGTGATCCGTTTATTTGGCAATCGCCAATGGCAGTCAGCAAGATTTAAGAACATTTGTTGTTCGACCTGTTAGTCAAATGCGTTTTGTTAAAATATACTTTTTCACTTTTTTGATCTTTTGGAAAATGTTGTTTGTGCTGTATTTAGACCCCTCTAACAAGAAATTTGTTTTGCATGCACACGTATAAAAATTGCGGTTTTTATCCAACGCAATCATAGGTTTGAACGTTGTTTTCAATTTAGACTTGTTTATATTTTTTCGTTTGGGCTTGTATTATATTTGCCTTCGGGTTTATATGATCCGTTCATCCTATTTTGACTCCTCAAAATTCAAGAGTCTATTCCAAATTGAGGTAAATTATGTGGCCTTCCAATAACCGTTTTGATTCCTAACATCACTGAAGAGACATTAATTGTCGAAATCCGGATATGGTGTACAAAAAATATTTGCACCTTTGTTTGCGGTATACCATCTTCGCCGCAAGTTTATTGTTTTCTGTTTGGTATTAAATTTAAAGTTAAGATCCATTTATTACACCTTGTGATCCGTTTATTTGGCAATCGCCAATGGCAGTCAGCAGGATTTAAGAACATTTGTTGTTCGACCTGTTAGTCAAATGCGTTTTGTTAAAATATACTTTTTCACTTTTTTGATCTTTTGGAAAATGTTGTTTGTGCTGTATTTAGACCCCTCTAACAAGAAATTTGTTTTGCATGCACACGTATAAAAATTACGGTTTTTATCCAACGCAATCATAGGTTTGAACGTTGTTTTCAATTTAGACTTGTAAATATATATATGTATATCCTAAATTTTACGGTAATATTGTACTAAAAGCGCGGAAATCACTATATGAACCGTGTAAACTCATCGAACCTTTAAACAAACTTATTAGTAAAGGTTATCTTATTAATGTTGTAATAAGATCTTTGAATATTGTTTACATTGGCACAAATATCGATTTTGTCATGAACAAATTAAAACATAATTAAATTTGTATTCTTTTCGAATGGTTTTTTTGGATGTATAAATACACACCCACGTTCATTTTCTATATAGAGATTGCTTTATCTATATATGACATTATACATATTTATTATAAGGTTAAATCCAAACAATCCTACAGCCTGTCGATACCTTTATTTTGGCATTGCACAAGTCATGTCTTCTTTGACTGTCCATGGCGTTAAAACACTAAATCCCTGGGATGTGTTTTAGTTTATTTTTATTAGTCTCTGATGCATGATTTTTTTATTATGAATTGTTTTTGTCTTTTAACTAGCTTTCAGTAACTGCGAGTACTCTCAAATCGTACTTTCGTGTAAATTTGACCTGTTACACAATTGTAATGCATTTTTGTTATTCAATGTTTTTACTTATTTTGTGTTATA